TGGTGGGAGGAGAGAAGGGTTTGCCTGCACAGATGTCTCGTCGCCATTCCTCGTCCCTTGTTCCCCCTGGGCCAGGGAGGCCCCTCATGAAGGTCAGGGTGCCCTCCCTGCACCTGCTGCTTCTCAGGAGCGCTGGACGCCTCCACTTCCCCGGATGTGTCACCAAGCAGCTGGACAGATGGCTGTGGACAGAGGGTTGGGTTCGGGGCAGAGTGGCCAGAGGTCTGCAAACGGAGAGAAGGACACAGATTAGAACGGCATGAGTAAAGTGAAAACTTTCGCATCTGAGCACATTTCCCCACATCCCGTTAAATCCAGCTTCCGTCGCATGGCTGAGGCCCATTTATCGGAGGGAGAGCGTTCATCTTGTCCTTTAAAGGGTTCAGATTAGGGGCTTTTCGTCCCAAGAGATGGGCACAGAGGCGGCATGCCTCCCCGGGGGTTGCACAGCTCCTCCCGCTCCTGCTGGCCGCGTGTCCGGGTGGGGGAGCGTGGAGCACAGCAAGGCTAACCAGTCACTTCTGAGCACTGTGCTTCCAGGGTTTGCACAGTGACAGCAAACTCTCGCTCTGTGACTCTGGAAAGATGTAGAACTGCCTTTCCCGACTGACAAGGTCCCAAGCCTGGGAAAAGGGATCTCCCTGCTGGAAAGAACTTAGGATTGTGAGGCCCAAGCGGTTTTCTAGGACATCTCAACTGGCATGTTCACGTGGCGCTACTTTAAGGACAGGGGAGCCCAGGTTGTAATTTGGCATCGAAGGCGGAGGGCCTGGTGACCGAGGGCGTCAGGAGTCCGAGTCCACATCATCCTAACCATCTGGGCGGGAGCCTTCCTATCCCTGGTCGCCACATGCGATGAAAAGGCCAGTGTTGTTCATGGCTGAGATCGGACAGGAACATGTGACCACCGGCTCGGGGTTGGCGTGCCTTGTCACCTGTCCTGCCGGCGTCTGCACCTCTCCATCCCTGTGTGTTCCTGTCAGTCTGTAGGAACAGAGCAGGCTGTGAATAGTGGCACGGGAGCTAGGCCTTGGCAGCTACAAGGCTTGGTTTTGTTACCTGACCAACTCAGTCTGGATTGTTGGTCTACCCACAGATAATGTTTGGTCTTTGGCAGCTAATCAGGGGAGCCACTGAGCTACCCAAGGTTGCACAAGCGTGGCTGGTGAGCCACAGGTAACATCTAGTGATTTGGCAAGTGTCCGTACCGCAAGAGCCTGCACCAAGACAGTTCGTGACCTTCGTGAGAGGCTTGAGGATGCGGCCTGTGGAATCACACCACAGGGTGGTTGCACTGTTGCCTTGATACACGACCCAGGCAAGGCCTAGCACTGTGCCTGCTTTCACTGCAAGGGGAAATGCCCTTCTGAGTGCCTGCCTGAGCAGAGACAGTCCTTGAGCTTCTAAAGGCATTTCTGTGTGTGTGTGCATGAGTGTGTGCATGAGTGTGTGTGTGTGTGTGTGTGTGTCCAATTGACTAACCAAAAGGAGAAGAGTGACGTTGTTTTCTTGGTCATGGATGCCACACATTGTCATTCATCTATTTTCTAGAGTTGGTTCTCCAGGTCCTCCCATTGGCAGGAACACTAATTAGTTTTTTTGCTCCTGCCAGTGGTCTAAATGTCGACATAGCCAGCACTCGAGTTGATTAGTTAATGTGGCCAGGGTTTAGAAAGCTGGTACAGGGGGTGTCTGTGCTTGACCTGTTGAGAAACCAGTACAAGTTTAAGTTCATAAGAGTGAGACATGGTTTGAGAAGAGCCATGGTGGAGAACCAGATGGAAAATAGGATAGATTGAGGCAAGCAAGCTCCTGTCCACCTTTTAATAAATGGCTGAAGGAAGTGGAGGCTTGGTTAAAAGAAAGATCCCCCGCTGTTTTATTTCCCTCTAGAAGTGCTGAGACCCAATAGGGGAGAAAGTAAGTGGGAGTGAAGTTTCTTGATCTGTGATCTTGGGAAGAGCTGTGTGCTTCATGCTTGTGTCTGCCTCTGGGGCCTGGGAATTGGCCCAGGACTCCTGACTTCAAGGTCACCTTTTGATGATCTTCTAATTATCCTGGCAGTGATGGGCACACCAAGCTAGTGTGGCTTGTGTGAATCCAAAGTAATTTTTTCTTCATTTGGATGGCAGTAGGTGGTAAGCATCTCATAAGGGCCTTCTCAGCAAGGCGACAGCGTGTGCATTCTTCTCAAAACCGTGATGTCCGTCCCATCTCCAAGTCAAAAGGGATGGCAAGGCTTAAGGTCAGTGGAGGCCACGCCCTTTTACCTGTTGATGCTCTCCAGGCACACTAGTTAGTTCCTGCATGTCACTGGTCAGACATGAAATTAAGTCCCTGTCCTGTTCACTGAAGCCAAGAATGGGAGGTTTAGAGAAGCCAGTAGGCATAGGGCAACCCGACACTCGTCCAAAGGGGTGATCCGTGTCTTCTACCTGCGGAGGTTTCTATAAGGACATTGGGAGTGCTCTGGCCGGCAAGTTCAGTTTCTGATACAGTTTCTATAAAGCCTTTTGATTCCTAGACTTCTGGCTCCATTTGCCCCGAGGATTGGGGTTGGTACTGGGAATGAAATATTGGTGGGTACCCCAGAGTTTTTGGAATGAAGTGGTTTATTTCTGCTGAACAATGGGTTCCCTTGGTCTATGTTAGTCCATCCAAGAACATACAGGGGTTAACTTCTCCTCCCCTGAGGCGTCTGTCCACCAGTCCATCCACCAAATACACAGGCCAGAACCAGTTGGAAGAGCCCACAGTGGAGGCAACTCTGGGGTCTGCTTTTAGTGCTGCACAGGCAGTGGGGTAACGGGGCACTTCCTCACCTCAGGTTTAGGAACGAGGACGGGATGACCCTGGCTGGACACTGAGGCCCTGGGGCCTCGGACAGAAGCCGGCAGAAGGTAGGGATTGGCCCTTGTCAGTCTCCAGCTCTGCCTGCAGTGGCCAGGCTGTCTTCGTCGCTCCTTTTCTAGACGTAGAGTGGCTGGAGAAAACATGTGGCTTGTTCTTTAGGAAGAGTGACTCTGGTCTTTCTCTTACGAGGACTCTTGTTTTCTATTTCTGACAGCTGTAAGGAAAGGAAGGCTTAAAAACTGAACTCTCTAGACCCCAGCACCCTCAGAGAGTTCATTTTTACCTTCTGCGGGACAACACCCCTCAACTCACACGGTCAGCTGTCCTCAGTCGCACCCAGAGCTCACCATTAGCCTCAGCAGAGGACTGGACGGGCTTCGTGGGCAGGATCAGCGTCAGCCCTGTCCCGAGGCTCGCTCTCCTGGCACCTCTGAGTCTGTCCAGGCTGACGGGTCTCCGGGCTACCTACTCATGGCCCATATCTCTGGCCACCCCAGCATCCTTAGGCCCCTCCGTCCGTTTCCTCCTCCATCATTACTGCTTCACGTCCCCGTGACAGTTCTCTGAGAGCTGGGCATTTGTAACCAGTGCTGTTGGCGCAGCTTCTCTTCTGTCTTCGTCTTGGCCTCTCACAGCTCCCATCGCTCGACACACTGAGCCCAGTGCCCAGCAGCATCTCTGCTCAGACATTCAGCACCCCAGTGCCCAGCAGTGCCCCTGCTCAGCCCCCCAGCGCCCCCTGGTGCCCATAGCACGCAC